GGCCACTGACCAGATCCCCAGGCCGACCCCTCCCGCAGTGGGGCGGCCGCTGACCGGCCCCTCCTCCCCACTCAGGCCATGAGCATCCGGGAGCAGATTGGCCACCCTGACTACATCCTGGAGGAGAGGAACAAGCGCCTGGACGAGGAGTACTCCAACGTGCGCCCCCCAACACACACTGCTGCCTGCTTGTCCCCTTGTAGCCACCCCAGTCCCAAACCACCCCGCACACCGTGGACATGAGGCCCAGATTGCCTGGGGGGAGCTCTGTGCCAAGCTCTGTGCCCTCCTCCCAGGCACCAACACCACTGTCCTCACCACGCCCTAGGGTGGTGGCTCCAGCACTACCCTCAGTGTGCAGATGGGGAAACTGAGGCCTGGAGGGATGAGGGACTTGCTCGGAGTCATGTAAACGCTCACTGCCAGGGTTCACCTGCACCCACAGCCAGCTGTCCACCTGCGGATGCCTGGCAAGGCTTGAGGTCCTTCCCCAACCACCCAGGACCTCTCCCCTTGCCCCGCTGAGGGTCCAGCCGAGCACCTGGCAGTGACTGGCCCCCTCCCACAGCTGAACTTCTCGGAGCACCTGTACTTTGAGAACGGTCTGCAGAGCCTCAAGGTGGGCGCCCAGCGGAGCCTCCGGAAGCTTCGGGAAAAGGTGGACCCGAATCTGTGAGTGGCGTCACTGGCGCAGCAAGGGCGGGGCAGGGAGTGGCCAGCAGGGCGTGCAGGGCCACCTGCTAGGTGGGGGGACTGGATGCGTGGCTGGGGTGCAGTGGCAGCTCAGAGGGGCGGTCACTGGGCCCGTCTCAGATGGAGTCTGCTTTCTGGGGCCCAAGTCTCCCCCTCCTCAGGGACCCTAGGAAGAAACCAGATCTTGGGATAGGCCTGGCCCCCTGCTCTAGTGTGGCTGGGGTGGGCTCTGGTCCATCGAGGCAGGGAGGGGCCAGAGGGTCCCGGGAGAAGCGGCTCCCAGAGACCGGCTTGTCAATCACAGCTGGATCATCGGGGCGGCCGTGGTCAATGCATTCTACTCCCCAAACCGAAACCAGATCGGTAAGTTCCTCCCCTCCCCGCCCGCATGGGCCCTTTGGTGCCAGAGCTGAAGGGGCGGCGTGCCAACCCCTGCCGACCTTTCCTCCTGGGGCACCCCAGCCTGTTCTCGGAAGGGGAGCAGGCACCCGCTGTCCCACGGCACTCCTTGCTGCCCCCAGGGGAACATTCGCTGCTGTGCCCGTGAGTGGCTCCAGGAGGGACTGCACAGGAGGTGGGAGGAGGCGGGACTGGGGTCCTGGGCCTGCCAGGCATGAGCCCGCCCAGCCTCTGACCCTCTGTGTCCCCATCTGTAAATTGAGGGGTCTTGACCTCTACCTCCCGGTCTGTGGGATGGGATGTCAGAAGCCCTGGTGGCGCCATCCCTGAGCCTGGCACACGGGAGACGCATCCACTCACAGCCTGGTCTTTGTCCCGCCCCTGGGGACAGTGTTCCCTGCTGGGATCCTCCAGCCCCCCTTCTTCAGCAAGGAGCAGCCGCAGGCCTTGAATTTCGGGGGCATCGGGACGGTGATCGGTCATGAGATCACGCATGGCTTCGACGACAGCGGTGAGGGTCCCCGCCAACCACACGCGCCCTCCCCATCCACGGAGAAGAGCCCGAAAGGGGTCTGGGGGGCCGTTCAACTGCTTCGTGGCTTCAGTGGGGACACCAAGGCCAGGTCCCCAGGGAGCTGTGGGGGCAGGGCAGATGTTGAATGCCAGGCTGGGGCCCTGCATGGGGGCATCGACTCCCACCATAGAGGAAGAGAGCCAGGGACTCCAGCTCGTGACCCTGACTCCACCTGGCACTGGGCACTTCCCTCCCTCGGCCTGTGACGTGGGGACCACAGCAGTGAAGCCCCGATCCCGGCCTGGGGGTCTCTCCAGACCCGGCCTCCTCCACCCAGGCTGTGTCCAGCCCCGCCATAGCCATGCCGACCTCTGCCACTCAGGGGGGACCACCCTACCTGGGACAGGGGCCCCGGCTGATTTTCCCCTGTGGCTCAGCCATCAGGACCTTCCGTGGGCAGCCCCATGTCCCCAGGGACCACGTGCTCCCCTCACCTGGGGCTTAGAGTTTGGGCATCACAGAAGGAGCCCTTAAACCCCGGAGCCTTCAAGACCTCAGGACCCAGGTGCTGGGCCCTGGCCTCAGGGGGTGGCATAGGAGGCCACTGAAGGCCTCCCTCTCTGGGGGGCTGTGTAGCCCCAGACAGCTGCTGCCCCTTGGAGCCCGAGACACTCTTCAGGCTCAGCCTGCTCAGGACAGTGGGCTCTCTGTGGTGGGGCTGCCTGCAGTGGGGGCAGGAGACGCCGGGCACAGCACGGCCAGGGCTGTGTGGGCAGCCCTCCTCTGCCCCTGCCCAGGCCGGAACTTCGACAAGAACGGCAACATGATGGACTGGTGGAGTAACTTCTCCAGCCAGCACTTCCGGGAGCAGTCGGAGTGCATGATCTACCAGTACGGCAACTACTCCTGGGACCTGGCGGAGGGGCAGAACGTGAGCACTGCCACCAGCACCAGGCTGAGGGGACCCGGGCCCCAGCCCTGTCCCGCGGGAGAGGGGAGTCAGGGCCGCAGCTGCCCCCAATCCTGGCTCCTGTGCGCAGGTGAACGGATTCAACACCCTTGGCGAAAACATTGCTGACAATGGAGGGGTGCGGCAAGCCTACCAGGTGAGGCCCGGAGGGGACCCCAGCAGGGGACGGGGCACTCACTCGGGACGGGACCCTGGCAGGGGACGGGGCGTCGGGGCTCGCTGGGGACCCCGCAGGGGATGGGGCATCGGGGCTCCCTGGGGACCCCGGCAGGGGACGGGGCGCTCACTCAGGATGGGACCCCGGCAGGGGACAGGGCATCAGGGCTCACTGGGGACCCCGCAGGGGATGGGGCATCAGGGCTCACTGGGGACCCCACAGGGGATGGGGCATCAGGGCTCACTGGGGACCCCGGCAGGGGACGGGGCATCAGGGCTCACTGGGGACCCCGGCAGGGGATGGGGCATCAGGGCTCACTGGGGACCCCGGCAGGGGACGGGGCGCTCACTCAGGATGGGACCCCGGCAGGGGACAGGGCATCAGGGCTCACTGGGGACCCCGCAGGGGATGGGGTGTCGGGGCTCACTGGGGACCCCGGCAGGGGACGGGGCATCAGGGCTCACTGGGGACCCCGGCAGGGGATGGGGCATCAGGGCTCACTGGGGACCCCACAGGGGATGGGGCATCGGGGTTCACTGGGGACCCCGGCAGGGGACGGGGCACTCACTCAGGATGGGACCCCGGCAGGGGATGGGGCATCAGGGCTCACTGGGGACCCCGCAGGGGATGGGGTGTCGGGGCTCGCTGGGGACCCCGCACAGGACGGGGCATCTGGGCTCGCTGGGGACCCCGGCAGGGGATGGGGTGCTCACTCGGGACGGGACCCCGGCAGGGGACGGGGTGTCGGGGCTCACTGGGGACCCCGGCAGGGGACGGGGCGTCGGGGCTCGCTGGGGACCCCGCAGGGGATGGGGCATCAGGGCTCCCTGGGGACCCTGGCAGGGGACGGGGCGCTCACTCAGGATGGGACCCCGGCAGGGGACAGGGCATCAGGGCTCACTGGGGACCCCGCAGGGGATGGGGTGTCGGGGCTCACTGGGGACCCCGGCAGGGGACGGGGCATCAGGGCTCACTGGGGACCCCGCAGGGGATGGGGTGTCGGGGCTCACTGGGGACCCCGGCAGGGGACGGGGCATCAGGGCTCACTGGGGACCCCACAGGGGATGGGGCATCGGGGCTCACTGGGGACCCCGGCAGGGGACGGGGCATCAGGGCTCACTGGGGACCCCGGCAGGGGATGGGGCATCAGGGCTCACTGGGGACCCCACAGGGGATGGGGCATCGGGGTTCACTGGGGACCCCGGCAGGGGACGGGGCACTCACTCAGGATGGGACCCCGGCAGGGGATGGGGCATCAGGGCTCACTGGGGACCCCGCAGGGGATGGGGTGTCGGGGCTCGCTGGGGACCCCGCACAGGACGGGGCATCTGGGCTCGCTGGGGACCCCGGCAGGGGATGGGGTGCTCACTCGGGACGGGACCCCGGCAGGGGACGGGGTGTCGGGGCTCACTGGGGACCCCAGCAGGGGATGGGGCATCGGGGCTCGCCGGGGACCCCAGCAGGGGATGAGGGCGCCGGGGCTCGCTCAGGACGGGCACTGTGCAGTGGGCTGCCTGGCCAGGGATCCCCCCAGAGCCCAGCTCAGGGTTCCCTGACTGAGGTGGTGAGCGAGCACCCACGGGGTCTGCAAAGGGGACCTGCACAGGGTCCCTGCAGGAGCAGTACCCCCACAGGCGTAGGTCCTGGAGCTCTGGAGTCCAGGCTGGCAGGCCCGAGCCCAGCTCCCGTCCGCTGCCTGCAGGCCTACCTCAAGTGGATGGCAGAGGGCGGCAAGGACCAGCAGCTGCCCGGCCTAGCTCTCACCCACGAGCAGCTCTTCTTCATCAACTACGCCCAGGTGGCAGCCACAGTCCTGGTCCCACCGTCCCCAGATTCCCAGCTCATCTCTGGAGGACCCACTCTGGGGACGAGAGCCCCGCGTGGGAGGCCCCTTGGGGGAAAAGCATGAGGGGCAGGGGCGGGAGCTGGAGAGGAGTCCAGTGCTGACGGGAGGAGAGGGACACCCACTGGCTCCCCCCACCCCACCCTAGAAGGGGCAGCCTGGGGATGGTGGAGACCCTCCCCCACCCCTCCCAGCCACCCCACCCCTGTGGTCTGTAACCACGCCCCCCACACGCCCACAGGTATGGTGCGGGTCCTACCGGCCCGAGTTTGCCATCCAGTCCATCAAGACGGACGTCCACAGTCCCCTGAAATACAGGCAAGTGCTCCCAATGCCCACACCCCCCTCTTGCCAGCCATGACCCCCTCACCCCCACCCCGGTGGCCTGTAAGAGTTAAAGAAAAAAGCAGCACAAAAAAACGGCTCCACAGTGAAAACCAGGTTTACTTTGGGAAGGAACCTGAGGGCGTTCTCGCTGATTTCAGGAGCACGCTCTGACCGACTAAGAGGGTCTAAGGGTTTAGGGAGGGAGAGCCTATGGCAGGCTCAGAACGTTTCTGTGTGAGGGAAGTTTTACTGCAGGGCTGGCACGTTTCTGGTCAGAGAGCGTTTATCTCGCGGTTGGCACGTTTCTGGTCAGAGAGAGTTCATCTCGCGGTTGGCACGTTTCTGGTCAGAGAGAGTTCATCTCACGGTTGGCACGTTTCTGGTCAGAGAGAGTTCATCTCGCGGTTGGCACGTTTCTGGTCAGAGAGAGTTCATCTCGCGGTTGGCACGTTTCTGGTCATGCTGACATGAGCCATCAGGCTGACGCTGGGCTGGTTTCTAGTCAAGGGGAACTAAAAATGGCCGGGCTTGTACACGATGGCCATGGTCCCGCTTAGTCTCACCTGCCCATCCACACACCCACAGGGTGCTGGGCTCGCTGCAGAACCTGGCCGCCTTCGCAGACACATTCCACTGCGCCCAGGGCACCCCCATGAACCCCAGGGAGCGATGCCGCGTGTGGTAGCCAAGGCCCGGCCGCGCTGCGCGGCCCACGCCCACCCGCTGCTCGGAGGCCTCTGTGTGCAGAAGGTGCGGCCGGCGGAGACCCAGCGTACGCCCCGCCCCAGCCGGCCGTGCCAAGCCTGCCTGCCAGGCATCTGCGCCTGGCCTCCAGTGCAGCCACCTGCCTGACACCCCGGGATGAGCAGTGTCCAGAGCAGAGCTGGCCCCGAGCCCCCTCCACAGACGCTCTCGGGGCTCAGCGCCCCACCACAGCCCTACACAGACGGGCCGCTGTGCCCTGCCCACCCTCCAAAGCGCACTGTTTCCCAGTGTCCACAGCTTCAGACTTGAGCTAAGTAAATGCTTCAAAGAAATCGGAGGCCTTGCTTGTCTGGGACAGACTAGGGTGGGCAGACGGGTGGCAGTGGCCTCGGGCAAGATGGCTGCCGGGGGCTGGGGGGAGAGTGACAGCTGGGAGCTGAGTGGGAGGGGGCCGGTTCTAGCCAGATTTCCCAGGGTCCAGTCCAGGGTCAGCAGTGACCAGGGTGCCCCCGAGTGCCTGCCCCCAGGGACCGCATGTTCAGATGCGGAGAGCCCCGCTGGGGCGCCGGGGGACCGACGGAGCTGCCGCCGGAGCGGGGAGTCCTAGCTGTATAACTGAAAGCCCGAGGACGGGCTGAACACACAGGGGTGTGGTCCCTGCTATTCGTTTTTTCAAATGGCCACTTCGAGGGTGGGGCTGGGGGCAGGAAGGGAACTAGGAGACCAGCAGGAGGCCACAGTGGTCCCCGAGTCTGGACTAGGGGGGCCAGGAGCGCTGCGGTTGTCATCGGCCTGCATGGGAGGGGAGGGCCCTGAGCAGGGAGTCTGGCCTGGGAGGTGAGGGGCTCTGCTCGGGACTTGTTGGGAACCCCCAAGGAAAGGTGGCCAGGAAGCTGGACACACCTAACTGGACCAAGACCCCCCAGGCCGCTGCCCCACAGGCCTCAGAGACCATCCGCAGCGGGTGCAGTGATTCTGACATCAGGAAAGGGCCTTGCGGCGGGCTGACCCATCACCTGAGGGTCCCCAGGGTCCATGGCCCCAACAGGTGGAATCAAGCCCATCTCTGCCCTGAAAACCCACTCTCCTGAGTGGCTCCCACCAGCCACGGGCACCGACCCCGCCCCGCTGAAGCCTCGCCCTGACCCCACACTCCTCCCCCGACATGCGCTGGGGTCCATCGCCTTTGAAGGGAGTGACAGGGCAGTGAGGTCCCCATTCCCTCCCGAGCGGCACACGAACTGAAGGCCCAAGGTCTCCAGAGACACTCGCAAAGCAGGATGGTGACCCCTGGGACTCACAGCTGCCCTGCGAGCAAGGCGGGGGCCCCGGGGGCTGCAGGGCTCGGAGCTGGCGTAGCAGCGTCCGCCCAGGAACCGCAGGCCGAAGGCTCAGTGGCTGTCCGCGGATCCGAAGTTCCACAGCCCGGCCCGGCGGCGCCAGAACCGTTTTTCCAGGCTGACTTCCAGCTCACCCAGGGCAGCAGACACCTCCTGGATCCTGGAGGCCAAGACCTTCACCTCCCTCACAACTCTCTGTCACACTGCGGGGACAGGAACAGGAGGGACACAAGGCAGCCCGACCTGTTGGTCACTCCCCTCCATTCAGGACATAAGAGGCCAGCCACCAGGACCACAGCAATGCCTGACAAGGTCCCTCAGACGATCCTAGCCCTCCCGAGGCAGAGAGGACAGGTCCCTCAGACTGATCCTAGCCCTCCCGAGGCAGAGAGGACAGGTCCCTCAGATGATCCTAGCCCCCCAAAGGCGGAGAGGACAGGCCCGTCGGCCCCCGCCTGTGTGCAGCCCCCACCTCTGAGGACAGCCCCGAAGTGCCTGTCCATCCAGCCACACTGCCCTTCTGCCCCTCTCAGCCTGGCCCCACTGCAAGTGGGGTCACAGTGGCACCCACATCCCAGGGCACAACTGGCATGACACCTGAGAGGCTGTGGCTCAGCCCCCAGCCAGGCCAAGAGCTCCTCCCAGGGGACCTGGGGGCATGGCATGGGTTGGCAGGCAGTGCCCCCAAAGCCCAACTCACCTGAGGCGGCCCGCTGGCACACACCTCTGCAGAGATGCCCAGGACCTGCAGGATATGCTCCCAGGGAACGTAGTCACCTGGAGACTTCTGGACGAAATGCAGCAGCACTGTGTCACCACCTGTAGCAGCGGGCGGGCCGTCAGCACCCAGAGGCTGCCCGTGTCACCACCTGTAGCTGCGGGCGGGCCGTCAGCACCCAGAGGCTGCCCGTGTCACCACCTGTAGCTGCGGGCGGGCCGTCAGCACCCAGAGGCTGCCCGTGTCACCACCTGTAGCTGCGGGCGGGCCGTCAGCACCCAGAGGCTGCCCGTGTCACCACCTGTAGCTGCGGGCGGGCCGTCAGCACCCAGAGGCTGCCCGTGTCACCACCTGTAGCTGCGGGCGGGCCGTCAGCACCCAGAGGCTGCCCGTGTCACCACCTGTAGCATGCGGGCGGGCCGTCAGCACCCAGAGGCTGCCCGTGTCACCACCTGTAGCTGCGGGCGGGCCGTCAGCACCCAGAGGCTGCCCGTGTCACCACCTGTAGCAGCGGGCGGGCCGTCAGCACCCAGAGGCTGCCCGTGTCACCACCTGTAGCAGCGGGCGGGCCGTCAGCACCCAGAGGCTGCCCGTGTCACCACCTGTAGCAGCGGGCGGGCCGTCAGCACCCAGAGGCTGCCCGTGTCACCACCTGTAGCTGCGGGCGGGCCGTCAGCACCCAGAGGCTGCCTATGTCACCACCTGTAGCAGCGGGGGGGCCGTCAGCACCCAGAGGCTGCCTGTGTCACCGCCTGTAGTGGCAGGCAGGCCGTCAGGGCGCCCTGGAGGCAGCCTGCATTTTGCAGCCATGTACTTGGAGGAGGGAGAGCGGGGCAGCCCTAGCCGGCCATGTCCCCCACCTGGCTACCCCGATGAGTGAGCCGTTCTGCCGCAGCCCCACCCAGCCCGGCAGACATGCGGAACCTGCCCGCTGCAGAGTGGGGCTGTGATGAGACTGACGAGGCAGAGAGAGTGCCTGGGCTGGGCCACCAAGTGCAGCAAGGCCCTCCCTAGGGCAGCAGCTGGGCCCTCCCTTAACCTACCTTTGCCGACCACCGGCAGCCCTCCACTCTGTGGCAGGTTCCCAGACAGGTTCCCCTGGATGCCAATAGCCTTGGGCTGCCAGGAGTGAGCAGAGCCTGGGCTGTAGGGCACGTTGGGAACCAGATGTAAGGCTGATTGCCCCACAGGGTCGTGGGGTGAGCCTTATGCTGTGCTGAGGCACAGGATCCGAGAAATAAAGAGACAGGACACAGAAGTACAAAGAAAATGCAGCTGGACTCAGGGGGGGACGCCACCTATAAGCGGAGTCAGGCGAGGCCCCGAATGTCCAGAAGCCTGAGTATTTATTGTGTATAGGTTGGGGGCAGGGCAGTGAGTGAACTCATCTTTAAGGACAGTGATATGGTCGTGAGCAATAAAACATAGGTTCCACCCCCATTAGTTCACCTAGGCCGGGAGGTGGACAGCGCGCAGCAAGGGCCCCGTTCCCATGAAGGCAAGGGCCGTGTGCAGTCAGGGGTCCACCCCCATTAGGTCACCGAGGCTTGAAGTTGGGCCATGCGCAGTGAAGAGGGTGAAGTGTGCGATACTTCTATCTATGGGAAACTACTTCTAAGAAGATTCATAGGAGGATGCTTTAAGTCACACAGCAGTGACAGAGCTGTCAGGGTTACCGCCACCTTCTGGCAGCTTCCAGTGGCTTCTGTGGGAAGATGCTTTTCGAGCAGCACAGTAGCAAGAGCTGATGAAGTTCAGTCACCAAGGTGGATTCCGGGTCTGAGGGCAGCCTTCCACGAGAACTGGAGCAGGGTCCTGCAACTCCTTTATCAGGAGGAGTGGCTCTCGCCCCAAGCCTGCCGTTCAGCGGGTATCTTTACGACACTGAACGCTGCCGCCTGGGCCATGGATTCTTGTCCTGGTATAACCGTTTTCCCTTAAACCATGCTCTGCACTGTGTCTGCTCTGGGCATTCCTCCGACTATAAGCTGCTTATTCCTTAATTCATGCTCTGCACTGTGTCCACTCTAGGCATTCCTCCGATTATGAACTAAGATATAATTATAGATATATATGTAGGGAAATATTTTTTAGGCACTCCTACTATCAACTATTAATGATTATATATACAGGATTATATAAAGGGAGACTTCAAGCCCTATTTCTATAAACTAATACATGATGATGTAAAGGATATATAACAGGAAATAGTTAAGTAGTAACACTATAAAGTGAGATATTCCTCAAGCCCTAACTGTGCCAGGGTTCTGCTTAGCTCTCGTTCCTCGGTGCCTATCTGGGGGGTTACCCACACTGGGTCAGACCTAGAGGGAAGGCCCCTGGGAGCTCCCACCACCCCCGTCCGGCACAAACCTTGGCAGCTACATCACGCACGGACTTCCCGAGGGCCACAGGGAGGACACCCAGGCTGCTATACCTGTGAAGACACCAGCATGCTCAGCCAGATTCCAGAAAAGCCTGGGCCCAGAGCCTGCTCCAGCAGCCATGAGACCAGCTCCTAAGTCATGCCCCACCCCACCCTACCCACCCACCTCACCAGGGCTCAGAGATGGCACAGGCAGCTGGATCAGCAGTCAGCCCAGCCCACTGGCAGGTTGGACCCCCAGCCCAATGGCTGCTGGCCAAGGGCCCACAGAGGGTGCAGGGAGTACGGATGGGGCCCCAGGCTGGGTGGGCCCAGGGATCTGGCTCAGCTGGCAGCTGCCAAGCAGGGGAGGTCGCCCGTGGCACAGACACCAGAAAGCTGGCATGGCCCCTGATGGGGCACCAGGCTCCCCGCCCGGTGGTCTGGACACCGAGAGCAAGACCTGGATGGGGGGCTCGTTACACCACAGTGAAGGCCTGGCAGAAGGACTGGTCGGCGGTGCCACCAGAGCTGCCTTGCCTGGGAAGGCTCGAGGGGCAGCACCGCAGAGGGCAGCAGGGACAGGAGGTGGCAGGGAGCGGTGGGCACCCCTGGGCCCTCCACCCCACACTACCCCTTGGGTGCCCGCCCCCACTCACCGCTTGAAGCCCAGCTCCTTATAAAGCTGCTTGCTCTCATCCAGGTAGAGCTCTGGAAATCAAAAGGCACAGGTGTGTGCCCAGGCCCGGAACCAGCCCCCAACCACCACCACCAAGGATCACCCTCCTGCATCCGACCCTCTCTGTTCCTCTGCCCACCTCCGTGCCCAGCCCACCCACCCAGGGCCGGGAGGGGCAAAACAGGGCTGAGGGTCCCCCATCCTCAGAGGAGGGCTGAGTCCCAGAGGCAACAGGGGGAACCGGCGGGGCAGAGCTCGCCCAGACTCTGCTGCTGGACCCAGGTCTTTGCAGGGCACCACCGGGCCACCAGCTCGGGGGCGGGGAGGCAGGAAGAGAGGAGGGACGCTGACCCGTGCGCATATCAAGGCCGCTCCAGGAGACAGAAGAGCCTGGGCTTGGCAAGAAGGACCCGAACACCCTGAGTTTAGATAAGAGTTTCCGCGCCGCTGCGGCTGAAACAGGACGCACCGCCCGCGAAGTAGCCGCCGTCCAGGAACTCCTGCAGACCCAGGGCCTGGGGCCCCACGCCCACCAGGCGCACGCCGGGCTGCTCCAGGAGCCCCGCGAGGCTGCCGAGGTCCCGGGCGATCTAGCCGCACACCCCGCACCCGAAGCGCCGCAGCCCGGCCACCCGCACGCGCGCTCCCGCCACAGGCTCCGCAGCTCCACAGCCTGCAGGGCTGCGGGATCAGGGGCGCGCCCCGCCGACCTCGGGCCCGCCCGGCCCCGCGGCCCCACCACCCCCTCGCTGCCAGGGCGCCCCCAGTCCTGCGCCCGCCCGGCCTCACCTTCCCGGTCACCGCATGTTGCAGGACACACGCGCCCACGCGGGCAAGATCCACAGTGCTCATGGCGCCCGCGGCCCACCCTGCTTCATGGTTCCCCGCTCCCGGCTCCCGGCTCCCAGATCCAGTTCCAGGCCCCGCCCCGAGATGCCCTGGCCCCGCCCCGAGGTCAGGGCCCCGCCTCTCTCGCTGCCGCAGAGGCACCGCCCTTTCGGGCTAGTCTCCGCCCCGGGCCCCGCCCCAAGATGGCCGCAGCGCGCCGGGTCACAACCACGGCCTCATCCCGAGCCCCGCTCCGCCCCGTCGGATCCGCCCCTAGTCCCGCCTGGTTTCCCCGCCCGCTCCAGGCCAAGCCCGGAGATCGCAGCGCCAAATCCCGCCGCCGCCCGCGTGGATCCCTCCCGCCTCCTCACTCCCGGCCTGGCTGTCCCCCGTTCCGCATCCTGGTCCCGCCCCCAGCCCCGCCTCCCTGTTGGGTCAGAGTTGGAAGGAAACGCCCACCTCATTACATATGCGAGTCCGGCCTGCCCTCGGCGCCGCGGGCGGAGCTAGGCGGCTCGCGCCTGTGCAGAAGGCGGCGGGGTCGGGCAGCGGGCTCCGGGTGGTCCCGGGGGGCGGCGGGCAGCGGGCTTGGCGTGGTCCTGGGGGGCGGGCAGCGGGCTCGGGATGGTCGTGGGGGGCGGCGGGGCCAGGGGTGGTCCCGGGCGCGGCGGGGGTCTCCGTGCGGGCTCGCGTGTGACTGAGCTGGATTCAGGGTAGAGGGGAAGGGACCAGCGAGAGGTCTCGAGCTTGGGTGACCCGCAGTTGGGGTTCGAGGGCTTAGCCTTTCCATGTGGTCCGATTTTGGATTGAAAATCCCCGCAAATGCAGCGGTATCTCAATTGTACATGTACGAGTTGTCTTTAATCATAAAATGCTGTTCATTTCATGCCGGTTGCGTATCAGCTTTAACCCCAAACCTAAGGCAAAGTGGACCCAGGGAGATAAGCGCAGCTCGCAGAAGTGCACCGCGGTCCAGCACCCGGCAGAGGCGTCCTGTTCCTCCCCCTGCAGCGCGGTGACAGCTTTTATCACCAAGGCCGGGTGAGGGCAGAGTCACAGCTTCACCCAGCCTGGGCTCCCACCTGGGTGGACCCAGCCTGGCACAGTCTGATCTCCTGGCACTGGGCCTCACTCCCCAGGCTCCAGGACAGCTCCGGGTGCCTGGACGAGCTGGAGAAGGAAGGGGGAGACCCCACACTGTATTCCACAGAACCCCAAATAAAGGGGGGCCCAGGAGGGGTGCTGCTGCCTCCACTTGTGCCCTCACCCCGGGAGAGGGTGCTGGGGTGGTGACGGTCCAGACAGAAGTGTTACTATGTCAGAAAGGGCAAAAAGCAAAACAAGGAAGGGGAGGCACTAGGAGTGCGGACCTGTGGCAGCTCCAGAGCCCAGGAGTGCAGCCCCCGGAGACCAGAGCTGCTGCGCGACCGACCGTGCGGGGCTGAGCAGGCAGGGTCCCCTCTGCTGTCTGGGGCTGAGCAGGAGGGGGCTCCTCTACCTTCTCGGGGTGTTCAAGAAGAGGCCCCTGCTGTCTTGGCTATTCAAGAGGGGCTGCCACTTCCTGGGAAGCTGAGATCCCAGATGGGATTCAGCCATTTTCAGAGACATCCCCAGAGACAAGAATGTGAGATCAGTTCTTCTCTTGGCATCTCCCACCAATGCCGTCCACTGCAGGAGCCTCCCAGGAAGCCAGCGGGCAGAGGAGAGTGGGAAGGAGCTTACAGCCTCCTGGTGCCCAGTGCTGCAGAGCAGAGGTGGCCAGGACGCTGAGAAGCCGTGTATGTGTTTGCATATGTAGGGGCTGAACAACCACCTCCATCCTTTTGGGGTCCTGGCTGGGCCCAAGAGTTAAATCAAGATAAGACAGGTCATCATGCCAGTGTATTTGATTCAAGTTGGATGTGGCTCAGGAGCCCTCAGAAGGAAATGAAGACCCAGAGAAGCAGACTCAGTCACTCAGGTGCTGAACTGCACAGAGAGCAGTGAGGTTTCAGGAAGCAGCTAGATGACATGGGCAGGCTAGAAAGGTGAGTCGATTAATCAGGGGCTGCGCAGCGCTCACTGGTCTCAGCTTCTCATCCGTGAGCATCAGAGCTTTCTAGTGTAGGAAGAGCATCTTTCCCATGGGAATTTCCATCTTCTGCTTTTAAGAAACAGAAAAGAAATCAGAATGATCTTTTTGCCCCTGTTATTTTTTCAACCTCCTCGAATTCCAAATAGTGAATATGCCAGAACAGCCTGTTTTGGGGTGGCATCTTAGCTCCATGCACTGTACGGATCCGGCCCACACAATTTAAAGTAAATAGACAGGTTTGCTTCCTTTCTTCTCAGGTGTAACACAGTTCAGTGCAGACATCCTCAGGGGACAGCTCCTTCTACACCCATCGGCTTTCTGTCATCAGTGACGCGTTGGTCAGCTCTCTCACAAGCCTCTGTCAGTCACAGCAACCAAGTTTCACCTCCCACTCATGTTTCTCGTCCGCCACAGGCTGGCTCAGCTCCTGATGCCTCCTTCATTCTGGGGTCCGGGCTGAGCGAGCTTTGGCTCTCTGGAACATGCCATTCTCCTGATGCGGAGGACATGGAGGCGAGATGGAGAAGCCACACCACGCTCTCCCAGCGGCTATGCAGGGCTGGGACGTGTCACTTCCACTCGCACGCCACTGGCCAGAGCATGTCATGTGGCCAAAGAGGCTGTCTGGGGGCAGGAAAGAGTGCTTCCCTCTCGGGGGGTGGTGTCAGCTCTGAGATTGGGTTTTAGCTTTCATATAAGGGAAGAGCGGGCCCGTTACTGCGTCAGGAGCTGACAGAGGACATGAAACTCCAGGGTCAGAGGCAAAGGACTTTGTCATTCATGGCATGGCAGGCAGGTGCTCACCTGTGTGTTTGGTCTTCTCTCTTTGCCCCCAAGTTCCACAGGTACCATGTGGGTGGGCCTGGGTGGACACTGTGCAGTCAGTGGGTTTCTATGACCACTGAGGAACCCTGCGCGGGAGTCGGCTGTTTGCAGCAAGCAGTGAGCAAGCTGCTCCCTGTCCCTGGGGGACTCTCAGAGCCAACCACCCTGAGAAATGGGGGAGAGTGCTCAGGGCCTGCATTCCTGGCAAGCCCTGTGAGAGGTGGGGGGCACGAGACGCTCGTGGAGGACTGCCCTATACGCAGGAGGTGCTGCCACTAGGAGAGGCCAAGGGACTCACCCTGAGGTTTCCCCGGCATCCCTGGGCTGCCTGGTGCCACATACATGAAAACAGTCGTCCCATTTAAGCTTGTCCACTCAGGAGCTGTTGAAGGTGGGAGGGTGTCTTAGTCTATTAAGGCTGCTATTTAAAAAATAACTACCATAGACTAGGTGGCTTCTAAAGGCTTCTCACATTTCTGGAGAAATCAAGGCACCGATGTATTCCAGGTCTATGGGTGACACCTGCCATGGTCACCAAGGAAGGAGAACTGTCCAGACCCCAGACACAATTAGTGCCTGAAGAACTATGATTTTGACTTCTAGTTTTATTTAATTCTTTTATTAATTTGCTTCACAAAATTAAATTTGCTGTTTTTACTATTGAATAAAATTCGACAACTTATTAAGAAAATAAAATATTTCCATGTATAAGACTAAAAAAAAAAGAATATCTTATAGTGTTGTTACTCAGCTATTTCCTTTATATAACCTTTCATATGTAATCAGGTATTAGTTTATAGAATTAGTGCCTGAAGTATAACTTACTGCTTACATATATCTAGCTTATATCATCATACTTAATACTTATAACTACTTAGTCCCATATAATCTTTCTATATAATCATATAGGTATTGTAGTCGAAGCGGTACCGACACATTTAGTGCCGATTTATAGAATCCTCCTATATAACCATATCGTCGTCTGTAGTAGGAGGAATGCCCAGAGCAGTCCCAGAGCAGAAGCAGTACATGGGAAAACAGCCAGACCAGGACGAGAACCAAAGACCCAGGCGGCGGCGGCCCCGCCTGAAAGGGCACACGCTGTACGGCAGGCTTGGAGCAGGAGCCTCTCCTCCTGAGAAAGGAGCTGTAGACAGCCCTTTAGACTGCATTTCCTGTTTTTAGTAACATGTTGCTGAGTTATTTTTAAATAATCTGTCTACTGACACCCACATCTTGACATCTGAGGTTCTGCTTCTGTTGCCTCTGTTTTCTTTTTCTGTTTTGTTTTATTTTGGTTTTTGTTTTGTTTTGAGATGGAGCATTGCTCTTGCTGCCCAGGTTGGAGTGCAATGGTGCGATCTCGGCTTACTGCAACTTCTGCCTCCCAGGTTCAAGCCATTCTCGTGCCTCAGCTGGGATTATGGGCATGTGCCACCCAGCTATTTTTGTATTTTTAGTAGAGACTGGATTTCACCATATTGGTCAGGCTGGTCTCGAACTCCCAACCTCAGGTGATCTGTCTGCCTCAGTTTCCCAAAGTGCTGGGATTACAAGCGTCAGTCACTGTGCCTGGCCTGTTTTCTTTTCTTTTTTTTTTTTTTTGAGACATATTCTTGCTCTGTCACCCAGGCTGAATTACAGTGTTGTGATCTCGGCTCACTGCAACCTCCACCTCCTTGGTTCAAGCGATCCTCAGGCCTCAGCCTCCCAGGTAGCTGGGACTACAGGCCTCTGCCACCACGCCTGGCTAATTTTTTGTATTTTTAGTAGAGACAGGGTTTCATCATGTTGGCCAGGCTGGTCTTGAACTCTTGACCTCAGGTGACCCACCCGCCATGGTCTCCTGAAGTGCTGGGATTACAGGCTTGAGCCACCGCGCCCGGCCGGCATCTGTTTTGATGATTGCACACACCTTCCTGCCTCTTCTCATGTCTACATCTTGATTCTAGCCCTGGGCCCTGCAGAGGTTAGGGGGGCTGTGCCCAAGACAGAAATGCACATGTGTGGGCACCGATGGGTCACTGCAAGGACGTGGGAAGATCACAGGACCTGAATCAGACTGGGGCTTGCTCAGACGCTGGCTCTGGCACCGCCCAGCTGATCACCACGGGTAAGTCACCGCCCTGTCTCACCTTCGGTTTCCTCATCTGTAAAACAGACCCTGGTAACCGCCTTTGCCAACCACACACTCGGTTGTCAGCCACTCTGAGCCGGCTCACCTTGCTTCTGAGTGACAGAAATCACAACCCCACTGTGGCTGAGAGGATGCCCAAGCGCTGCAGCTCCATCGCACATGGCCCCTGGCCCTGCCATCCTGCCCATCCGCCTCCTGCAAGGCCTGAGATGTCCCCATGAGAAACTCAGGGACTCCAACTAGGTGGGCAGGTGCAGGGGACCCCAACTAGGTGGGCAGGTGCAGGGGACCCCTGGGGAAAGGCAGCTGGGTTTCCCCAAGTCCCGCCCTATATACAGGGATTTGATCGACTTTTGTTCTTTCTCTTTCTTTCTTTCTTT